TTCCGGATTTTTTTGGGGTGTATTTTGAGCCCCCCGCCCGCGCCGGTACCTTGCTGAGCTCCCGCTCCAGCTCCTGCGCGCGGCTGACGATGGGGCCGCGCACCGCGTACTCCACGCGCCGCACCGCGGGGTTCAGCGCCTCGGGGCTCAGCACCGCGCCCCGCCGCGCCCCGCCCGCCGCCGCCGCCGCCGCCGCCGCCGCCATCGCCAGCAGCCTGCGGGCCCGCCGCGCCCTCAGCATCGCCCCGGGCCGCCCCCGGGGAAACGGGGAACGGGGCCGCCCTCGGGGAAAGAACGGGGCCGCCCCCGGGGAAAGGACGGGGCCGCCCCCGGGGAAACGGAGCCGCCCCCGGGGAAAGGACGGGGAACGGAGCCGCCCCCGGGGAAACGGAGCCGCCCCCGGGGAAAGGACGGGGAAACGGAGCCGCCTCCCCGGGGAAACGGAGCCGCCCCCGGGGAAACGGGGAACGGAGCCGCCCCCGGGGAAAAACGGGGCAGCCCCCGGGAAGGGACGGGGAAACGGAGCCGCTCCCCCGGGGAAGAACGGAGCCGCTCCCGGGGAAAACGGGGCAGCCCTCCCGGGGAAAGGACGGGGAACGGGGCCGCCCCCCCGGGGAAAAGCGGGGCCGCCCCCCGGGAAGGGACCGGGAACGGAGCCGCTCCCCCGGGGAAACGGAGCCGCCCCCGGGGAAAACGGGGCAGCCCCCCCGGGGAAAACGGGGCAGCTCCCCCCGGGGAAAACGGGGCAGCCCCCCCCGGGGAAAGGACGGGGAACGGAGCCGCCCCCGGGGAAAGGACGGGGCCGCCCCCGGGGAAAAACGGGGCCGCCCCCCCCGGGAAAGAACGGGGAACGGAGCCGCCCCCCCGGGGAAACGGAGCCGCCCCCGGGGAAAGAACGGGGCCGCCCCCGGGAAGGGACCGGGAACGGGGCCGCCCCCGGGGAAAGAACGAAGCCGCTCCTCCGGGGAAAGAACGGGGCCGCCCCCCCGGGGAAAGGACGGGGCCGCCCTCGGGGAAAGAACGAAGCCGCTCCTCCGGGAAAGAACGGGGGAACGGGGCCGCCCCCGGGGAAAGGACGGGGCCGCCCTCGGGGAAGGGACCGGGAACGGAGCCGCTCCTCCGGGAAGGGACGGGGCCGCTCACCCGGGAAGGAACGGGGGAACGGAGCCGCCCCCGGGAAAGAACGGAGCCGCTCCCCGGGAAGGGACCCGGGAACGGAGCCGCCCCCCCGGGGAAACGGAGCCGGTCCTCCGGGAAAGAACGGAGCCGCTCACCCGGGAAGGGACGGGGGAACGGAGCCGCCCCCCCGGGGAAACGGACCTGCCCCCTGGGAAAGAACGGAGCCGCTCACCCGGGGAAGGAACCGGGAACGGAGCCGAGTCCCCGGGGAAGAACGGAGCCGCTCCCCGGGGAAAGCGGGGCCGCCCCCGGGAAGGGACCGGGAACGGGGCCGCCCCCGGGAAGGGACCGGGAACGGGGCCGCCCCGGGGAAACGGACCTGCCCCCTGGGAAAGAACGGGGGAACGGAGCCGCCCCCCCGGGGAAGAACGGAGCCGCCCCCGGGGAAAGGACCCGGGAACGGAGCCGCCCCCCGGGAAAGAACGGAGCCGCTCCCCGGGAAGGGTCGGGGGAACGGGGCCGCCCCCCCGGGGAAACGGAGCCGCTCCCCGGGAAGGGACGGAGCCGCTCCCCGGGAAGGGACGGAGCCGCTCCCCGGGAAGGGACGGAGCCGCTCCCCGGGAAGGGACGGAGCCGGCCCGGTGCGAGCGGCGGGGGTGGCCGAGGGAAGCGGCCACCGGCAGCGGGCCGGGAGCAACGGGCACGGGGCGAAGGGCAACGGGCACCGGGCCAGGGACAACGGGCGAGGACAACGGGCACGGGGCGAGCGGCAACGGGCACCGGGCAAAGGGCAACGGGCGGCGGGGCGGGGCGGGGCGGGGCGGGGCGGGGCGGGGCGGGGCGGGGGTGGCACCGGGAAAGGGGGACACCGGGAATGGGACACCGGGAAAGGGGACACCGGGAATGGGGACAGACGGGGAGCGGGGACACCGGGAATGGGGGACACCGGGAATGGGAGCGGGAACAAACGGGGACGGGGACACCGGGACGGGGACACCGGGGATGGGACACCGGGAATGGGGGACACCGGCAGCGGGGACGGACGGGGAGCGGGGACACCGGGAATGGGAATTGGCACCAGGAACGGGAACAAACGGGGATGGGGACACCGGGACTGGGAGCGGGAACAAAAGGGGACGGGGACACCGGGGATGGGGGACACCGGGGATGGGACACCAGGAACGAGGGACACCGGGGATGGGAATTTGCACCGGGAACGGGAACAAACGGGGATGGGACACCAGGACGGGGACGAACGGGGAGCGGGGACACCGGGAACGGGAGCGGGAACAAACGGGGATGGAGCACCGGGAATGGGAATTGGCACCAGGAACGGGAACAAACGGGGATGGGACACCGGGACGGGGACACCGGGACTGGGACACCGGGACTGGGAGCGGGGACAAACGGGGATGGAGCACCGGGAATGGGACTGGCACCGGGACTGGGCACGTGGCAGAGGGGACAGGGACAGGGGTGGCACCGGGACACCGGGAAAGGGGGACACCGAGAATGGGACTGGCACCGGCAGCGGGGACGGACGGGGAGCGGGGACACCGGGACAGGGACACCGGGAATGGGACTGGCACCGGGATCGGGAACAAACGGGGATGGGACACCGGGAACGGGAATTGGCACCGGGAACGGGAACAAACGGGGATGGGACACCGGGACGGGGACACCGGGACTGGGAGCGGGGATAAGGGGCACGGGGATGGCACCGGGAATGGGACACCGGGACCGGGGACACCGGGAATGGGACTGGAACCGGGACTGGGCACGTGGCAGCGGGGACAGGAACAGGGGTGGCACCGGGACACCGGGAACGGGGGACACCGGGGACAACCGGCACCGGGAGCGGGGACAAACGGGGATGGGGAAGCGGGAAGGGGACACCGGGAGCGGGGACACCGGGAATGGGACTGGAACCGGGAACCGGAACACCGGGAACGGGACACCGGGAATGGGACACCGGGAATGGGACTGGAACCGGGAATGGGACTGACACCGGGAACGGGACACCGGGAACGGGACACCGGGAGCGGGGACACTGGGAATGGGACTGGAACCGGGAACCGGAACACCGGGAACGGGACACCGGGAACGGGACACCGGGAATGGGACTGGAACCGGGAACCAGAACACCGGGAACGGGACACCGGGAACGGGACACCGGGAATGGGACTGGAACCGGGAATGGGACTGACACCGGGAACGGGACACCGGGA